GGCTGCGGGCTGGGGGACCAGCAGAACAGCTCGGCTCTTTCGCTGTCCGCGGTGGAATGAGCCATTTACTGAGGGTGCTCTAAGGGTTTTTTTTGTTTGTTTGTTTGTTACCAGCAACTCTTGGAAGGCATGCCCGCGTGGCTTGGCCATACGTATCAAAGTGCAAATCAGTCTTTTTCTTTTCTTTCTTTCTTTGTTTCTCTCCCCTCCCCCCCAGAGAAGGATCACCGCATCCGTTTAAGGCAAAGAGATGCGTCTTTAAAAGAGCATCAGTCTTGTCCTTTTCGTGCAGCAAATGTTCTAAAATGAGTCCAACAGTCTCATCACAGACGTTTATGCTTTTTAATGGGCGTTGTTTTCTATTTCGTTTACTTAATGTAAAGCAGTAACTCTGTTGACCCCTCCACACTGGCTCATTTCCAGTATCTTTTCCTCCAGGATATTCCCAAAACATAAACTGCAAGAAATTACTTAACAATTTTGTGGAGCAAGGCTGTTCTGAATTATGCCAACAGATAGATGTTTACAAATCTAGGCATTAGGGGTATATTTCTAGCTCTACTATCAGATAAACTTGTTAAACTCTGGAACTGATTTTGACGTTTAAATGAAAATTACTTCTCCGGACCACAAAAATCTAGACACTAGAACAGCAAGAGAAATGAGCTTTTGCCTCAATAAAATGAGCAGGTACTTGCTTAAAAATCACTATGGGCTACAGCCCAGCAGATGTCACTATACAAAGGGACTATGGAGTGCAATGTCTGCACCTCTTTCCTCATAGTTTTCTTTAGGAAGTAAAACAGAAACTTAATTCTTATAAACTGTGTCATGGAAAATAGTTCTGTGAGTGCAAAAATCTTCGCTGGAATGGGACAGTTGACTTAAACCTCAGGCAGGAGGAAGTGAATAAGTGATTAAGACACATCTTTCATGTGCCTAAACACTGCCTGTTATGTCCAAGCTACATAAAACTGTCTCCAACTCTCTCTGTATAGCTGAGATATGAATGGGTCACATCAAATAAGTGTCAATTTAAGAGTTCAAAAATTATATTCCAGGGCCAATATTATCTTTCAACATCTAAGTTTATGAAAGCAACTTCTCATCTAATAGATGTATTATTTTTAAAAGTT